TTCAATTAAAAAAAACGCATTTCTACCCAAAAATATTTGAATTATCAGTGTTATAAAATATATAAATTTTTTTTTAATGTATAACCTCCAATTTTGAAAATCAATATAAAAAGTTCCCTTAGCAGATCTAACGCGTAAATATTTGTTAAACATATCAAACATTTTTTTGCATAACATTTTTCTTTCAGTTGCAAAGCCTTTAAGATAGTGATCTTTCAAGAGAGATTTATGTAGGTCCGAGAAGATTCATGGATAGCTATTTGTTGCATCAGGCAAAGATAGCAGGGACAAGAATAGCGAGACAATGGAATGGTTGCTATGCCACGGTGAGGGTATGCCGAATTGGATCCGAGCCAGGTTGCACTCTTGTCGTTGTATCGAACTATTCGATATTGATAGATACGTTACAGATTGTCACATTAAAAGATGATACCAGAAGAAATTTGTCTGTACTTTTTAAGTGAATTGTAAAAGAAGTTTGTTCTGAATACGTCTTAATTTTTTTTTGGTACTGTGTTATATGAAGTCGCCATTTTTGCTATTATGTTTGCAATAGGCATATATTAAGGGGTAGTCCAGTGGTCGGACCCACCCTAGAATCATCTAGTGCCCACATCAGGATGTGAGCAAAGCTTCGTAAAGACATGTCTAAGAGTACCCATGCTCCTTTTTCAAGTGCCAGCCTCCCCCCGCCCCTGAAAAATTATCTTAAATATGCCAATGGTATTGTTATATTATTAATAGCAAGAAAAAAAGACAAACAATCGATTTATAAGAAACATTACAATGAAATATATAATTACGAATATACGAATTGTAATATTATCAAAGCAAAAGTTAAAGACACATGGAGCAAAATAAAAGAAGGCTTTTTCTCGTTGAGAGATCCTTGGCAGTAATCAAATATATCCTTTTATTTTATTACTTAATGCATGTAAATATAATCTAATAATATTCTTTCGATGAAATAAATTATTTATTAATTAACAAGTTGAAAGAAATTATATTGTATATTTATTATAATGATTGTAAATTATTAAGTCAATAAATAACAGTAATAGAGTAGTATTAGTGTTATTTCAATTTTGTGACGATTAAAGTTGCTGTTTATTTTTGGTGAAAAAAAAATGTGAATCAAAATCTTATTTCTAAATTCTAATGTTTACAATGTATGAGTAGAGTAAATGTCCAAGGAATTGCTCGACATTTATCGACAAGATATCGGTTTATGTGTTGCCAACACTGAAATCGTTTTATTTACCGAGTAATATATATTTGTCAGAATATAAACATACCTATAATGTTTCGGTATATTTGACTTTTTTTTAAGTTGGGATATGATAAAAGTGAAATTACAAGGTATGGAGGCAAAACTCCTTAATCCTCAGAAATGACAATGTAATAAGGTAGTGGTGACGGTTACCATTAAACTCTAAAAAAATTAATTATTAAAGCAAGTACACCAAATTATAAAAAGGAAATTTGTTAAAAAAATATTTAATGAATTAGAAATTAGAGATTGTTATTAAATATTGTATAGTATCACAATAGTTGTTGACTACCTGCTGAATTTAGTAACTATTTCTGTCACGACTAATTTGCATTTTTTTTTATGGGTGAAAATGGTATGGTAACCCCGCCTGCGCTAACGGGGTACGCTGGCGGAGCACCAGTGAAGGGTGATTGATGAGAATGAAAACAGGCCAGTTAGCCCATCATGATGAATTCATCAAGAATTAACCATGATAGTTTCCAGGGAGAACCGCGAGGAGGTCAACCTGGTTGGGTATATTGCTAGCAATAGGATTCTCAGTCTCCATTACCAACAATCCCTTTCCCCCCGACTAATTTGCATTGCTAATTCCGTGAAAACTACTTATGGCTACTTATATGAATAAATAATTGTTACTTTAAGTTATATATTGTAAGCTATTGGTCTTATAATAAATAAATAAATAGGTACCTATTTTACATACACTATCGGGACTAAACGCGATGAAAAATTGCAAATAAATAGTACCTAGTCGTACATACTCGTACCTAGTTCCGACAGTAAATTTAAAATATGTGTCAATAACGCGAAAGTTTAAAATTAAATAGACACCTATTCTATATCCACCTAGTCAAGCTTTATAACCCTGGATGTTAATTCAATAATTACACATCGCATCGAGAACATATTCCCAGTTGAAAACATTGTTCTGAAGGCAAAAGCAATTTCAGTTAATCCCAAAGATTATATCATAAATTGGCGCAGATGGCATATGAATGGTAAATTAATTCTATTCGAGATAACAGGCTTCAGTCATTTATTCATTTACTGGCAAGAGTTTTATTTATACTCGTGTGTATCGTAAGATATCATGTTAATATTTTATATAAGAAAACTTTGTATTAAGTAGAATACTAGAATATTAATAAAAATCAGTTGCCGAACGTATGTAGGTAAGCGCGTTACTTCAAAATGGTTCCATCTATTAGGATAATTCATTTTCCGTCGTTTTTGTAATTGTTAGGACAAGGTTCGTATGAAAGAAAATGTTTAAATAATCCTTGAATATTAATACCCAAAAAAGCATTATTTCTTTACCAATAAGGTATTTTTTTTTAATTACATATTTATACCTACAGTGAAAACTTCTCTATGTGAGATGGATAATCGGAAGCATTTGTACTGAATAGACATAATTAATATTAATATTGTTACTAAGCACTTATTAAATTTGTAATGTAATTCCCATAATAAACATAAAAAAGTAATTTTTTTTATTCTAACTTAAATATTATATTACAACGTTTTTACTACTGTTCTAAAACAACTACAGACTTAGTTATGTTTTTTTATTTTATTTATAGTGCCCTTTGCGAATAAAAAAAAGAACAGTTTAGGCCTACACAAAGTGGCTTTACGAGCGGTAACTTAATTACAGAGATATCTACTTTGTTATCTTCCTCGTGGACATAGATAGACATAGGTGACGTAAAACCCTCAATTTATTTGAAATTTAAGCGTGCCAACTAAAAAAACTAAAAAAAACTCACCATGAGACAAAATCTATTTTAGCAAATCCTTCCCATATAATCTCTTTTGAATATACCATATAATATTAAAATGAAACAAAAAACATAGATACAAGGACGCCGAAAATGATACATTAAGTTAGCGTCTATGACAGTGATTGGTCCATTTGCATACACTTCCGCGCCATGAGTAACATTTGCCATCTTATTTAATAATTTATATTTATTATTTAACAATTCAACATTTTTTATTCACATGTGATGAGATGTAAGAATAAAATGTGTGTTATTGTGTTTGAATAATTTTTTTATCATTTGTTTTTAACACATATACCTGAAGTATCTACTTAAAAAATAATTGTGTGTTATACTTACTCTTCTCAAAAGAATTTAGAATCGATTTTTAGCTGAAGTTAAATATGCTTATTCGACCTTATTTTAGATACAAAGTATCTACATGTATGTATAAAATGTAGTTAGATCCATATCTGTGGTCCTATAATTTTTTTTTTATACAATTTACTATGGAACCACTACAGCATACAAGTAACTTGACCTTGTAACTTGAATAACAAGGGCATTATTATATTGATAGTGTCTTTGAATGTCACCCAAATTTGTGGGATTGTTTACAAAGAGAATTTATTGAAACGAGCAAGATTCGACTGTTGGACTCTGTGACAAATTGCTTATATTATTGCGCGGTCGAATATTGAAATTTCTTGTTTTTATTGAAACCTTCGTAATACGTCGTGGCCTTATTCGTCGATTTACTTCAGATTGGAATGTAGAAGGTAGGGCGCCTTGTATTTGGATTATAGTCATTAGTATGTACTATTTATAGACCACTTCAACGAACGATTGTATTTCCATTTAACTTTCTTGTTTCACGTCAGTTATAGAATGCAGAATATTTACAAAAATAATAAGAAAATAGTCCAATACTTTTTGTTATAATTATAAGTGACTCCAACAATTCATCTCTACTCTGTAATGTGGTAGTAATTCAAATATTTCTATACTGATTTTTTTTAAATAAGGTCGTATACAATGATAGTTTGGGTTATTTAATGAGTGATTATGGAATTGAAAATGCGGGGTTACCGCTTGTACTATTGGTATACACTAGCGAGGCACCAGTGAGGGATGAAAGGTGAGGATGAAAAGACAAGTCTCTATGGTCACTATGATTTCCAGAAGAACGGCGTGGAGGTCAATTCGATCGATTCAATTGAGGAGAATAATTATTTTGTGTGCTTTTATAATAATTATCAGTTCTTACATCGCGTCTATAAATTATACGAATTTAAATTTTATAAAAAAGTTATTTAACACGTTACCACCTCACTGTGAATAAAAAAAAAACATCTATAGATGTAGAGTATCAATGATTATTCCGTTCGTGAATTTTTCACCTCATGAATACTTCGTATTCAATCTCACTAAAGATTTAGTTCCCGCAAAAGAGCTCTGAATCTTTGATAAGCCCAGCTTGTTGAGAACTTTGTAATTTCGAACGACGGTTTGTTGAACCTCTCTTAAAAACTCAATCTGTTCTTTATTATGGTAATAATATTTAAATCTTCATAAGAATATTAACTCTATTCTCTTATAACAACAATTACAATTTTGCATATAAATATCATCTACTTATAATGGGGAATAAGCAATTTTAGTAATAGATGTGGTAATAAGGACTTCAGTTACCATTGCTAGTATTAGTAATATACCCTGTTACCATAAGTATTCTTAATAGCTTTTGAATTCGCTACTTACCACTCCATTATTGTTTAATAAAAAAATATAGGTACTATCTAGTACCTACTGTTATATATTATTTGTATATGTAATTTTTATACAATGTATTAACGTAATTTTGCTAGTCAAAAACTAAACAAAATATCTTTAAACACAAAGAAGACTATAATACATTTATAGACATATTAATATTGTTTGCTATAATAAAAAAAAAAACTCACTTGACTATTAGGAAATGTGGCGAATGCAGACTGCACTTTGTGTAGCGCATGATCCTGTTGGTGCGCAGGCGGCGGTCTGCCCTTCGGGAAATGGAATCTGGGGATAACGCGTGCGGGTGCGCCACTGTTCGCCGCGCCTCGCACCGTGCGTTGCAGCGTCGTGTGCGCAGGCGCAGACGATGGTTTCGTAGGTGTGGATGCAGCATAGTTCTGAAAGAAAAGAAATGCAAAAATTTTAATTACAGAGGCTTTTATTTATTTATATGTAAATAAATAATAGTTTATGGTGTCTGTTAAGAATACATACAGATACATAGTAGCAAAAAATAAACCTACAAAGGCGAACTCTGAAAGAATTTTACGAATCTAAAGTTGGATTTTCACTTTAGGTGCAAAACTAATCGTTACGTGTGAATATTTATGATGGATAAAATTTTCAACTAATATATCCTAATTCTGAATTTATTTCAAATATGCTTAAACTAAAAAGTAAATTAGTTTATTTTAATATCAATTAATGTTATTTCTCTATATAACATAGAAAATTAGGTAGTAATTGGAAAAAACAAATCTAGAAATATTTTATAAATACTAGATATTGAAAAAAATCATAATACTACTGAAATATGATATACCTATATAATTTGCAGCGAAATATATTATACTGGGATAATCATGGTGTTCATGTATATAGGTTATAGTTTCAACTTTCCATCAGGTGAGCAGTTTGTTTACCAGTCTTTGTAGTAGATATAAAAGTATAAAAATAAATCAATATAATAGTTTCGTATCCAGAAATATTTTATTGCGAACTTGGCTGTGTAAATCAAGAGTTGAAAAATACAAACAATGTACTTGTATAGACAGAGAAAAAATCTGCGTACATACATTATCAGAGGGAGACTTTGTACAAAAGTCGTTTGCTTGGGTACCTCTGTCCTATTCGTGTTGTTTGCATGGCTGTGTTTCGGTTTGAAGAGTAGGATATGTTGGATATATATATGTCAGGAATGGCAACGCTTGGGGGGTATCATGGGCGAAACAGTATACTTTGTTATGTCCATGTCTATAGGCGACGGTTACCACTTTCCATCAGGTGGGCCGTCAGCTTGTTTGGCATGCTAAATTGCATAAAAAAAATCCTATCTCATACAGATCTCGAATACGACACAAATACCGACTATCAATAATAAACATTTAATCTAATTTATAAATAAAGCGATGATTTGTCGAAGGCAAATATTAATAAATAATAACAGTATGGCGTAATATAGAGAGGATTATGAATTACATAAATATACATTAAGTTGCTTTAATATAATAATATCCAATAAACTTTAACTGCGCAATTATCAAATTAATATATAAATACATAATATGCCTAATGCTTACCAATACTGCCATTTTTTATTACTTTAAACCTCTTTTTGTTATAATCGTATAAAAATATGTCGATATCTTGTTTCGATTAGACGCGACTGCGTATTAGGATGTATTACGAACGTATTATACACCAATATGATGGTCCACTCTCGATTTCCATAACAGGATATCAAAAGAAACGGAATAAGTTTTATAATTATATCATAATAATAATATATTCTATACTTTAGGTATATCAAGTTATATATAAGCAATCTTAATAATCTTGGTATATAGAGATATGGAAATATTTAACTCCGTTACGTTCAATTTATTTTCTATTTCCACGGGAGTACGTCGAAAGTTTGATATAATAAAAAAATACGCTTATAAACTCCGATGAGGTAATCAAAAACGTTTTCTCTACTATTGCAATAAATATCCTACGATCCATCCACCGATTAATCGATATTATCAATAACAAAATTTTATTATAAAATAAATATTATATTATATAGTACCTACGAATATATAATAATAAATAATATATTATAAAATAAATATCAACAATAAATCCTTTTTAAAGCAAAAAATATATACATATATTGTAAGTGTAAAAATAAATATACTGAAAAAATATAATTAAAACTATTCTTTTTGAAGTAGGAATGAAAATTTCTCATCAACGTTTCATTTTCATCATAACATAAATAACTAAATACATGAATCAAAACAATATATGAATCAACACAATGAAATTATTTTAAATTTCACTTAAAGAAAGAGATGGTTTCAGCACATCTCAGCAAGAGGGAAGGAGGTTTCAATTTAATTTAAGTTTGTGTTCAAATTAATTTAAATTGTGACAAAACCACTTAAAAATTTTTTTATTTAAAAATTAAACTATTGAATCGATTTTGATAACATTTCAATGAGACTAATCTGTAAATATATTCTTTCAGATAAAAAAAAATTTTCAATATCGGTTTATACCTAACGGAGTTATGAAATAACAAATATATAATAATACCTCTTTTTTCTAAAGTTGTTTAAAACTCCTCACGTAATTAGTACTAAATGCTCTTAGCCGCAATATATACGTATATATATATATATATATATATATATATATATATATATTTAATGCCTGATAATGGAATGGTAACCCCACCCGCGCTATCGGTATACACCGGCGGGGCACCAGTGAAGAATGATAGGTGAGGATGAAGCAGGTCAGTTAACTCATTATGACGGATTCAACAAGAATTGTTCACGATGGTTTCCAGGGGGAACCACGTGGAGGTCGACCTAATAAGGCGTATTGCTAGCAATGGGGCTGTCAAACTTCATTACTAACAATCCCTTTCCCCCCAATATATACGTATATTATCAGTATTGACATGTATGAGTATTTTCTATAAAGTAATACATTATGTTTACATATTCTGTAAGTTCTTCAGAACGAAACGGAAAGGTGAGCCGGCAATTTCCGTGATTTATTGTAGGTACGATTGCAGATATTTTTCAAATTCACTCGGAAGGCGTTTGTGCTTGTCACAACACGAGAAATATCTACGGTGAAAACCACTCGCGTCGAAAAATCTGGCTTCAGGCGTGCGCGGCATAACTTGCTCCGCTTTTAGATATATGCGGGATGCGGGATAGGAATGTTGAAAGGTATCATAATTTTCTATTACATTCATTTAGCTCTACTTATGCGTACGTCTTTTTAACATTTTTACTGTATTTTTTTAAAAAACGTTCGTGATAATCGTAACTTTAAATTCTGTGGTATAAATAAAAGATAACACTGTTTATTAGGAAACGAATCTTTTAATTTTTAACATCAACAAAAAAAAATTAAACTGTATCGATACCTCAATTTACAAACATTACAATAAATTTGGCATAGGTAACTGTAATTGCGTTTCGATCAACTTGCGTAGGTACATAAAAATACAATATTGGCACAGCCGTTTCGGGGTTTCCTTGGCCTATAATTTTATATACGTCACAACACGCAATAAATACCCGTTGTACGTCATTTTCACAGTACACCGTTCTCGTGTTCATTAGGAAGCCATTTTCCAATATCGGTTCATTGTACCCGCCACACTGTGGAATAGAAGCCACTTTTATAAGAGGTGTGAAATTTGGCATAGTTAGTAGATACCATTGCCAGAAATATGTTAAGTACTATCTGGTCAAACAAAACAAAAACAACAGCAATAATTCAAAATAATAAAGAACAAAAATGCGGATATTCCTTAAGTTTTCCAAGACAAAGTTAAATATAATATAGTCACAAAAATATTCACAAAAGCAATCCAACCCATCATTATAATGGTCAAAGTCGTTATTCGTTTACACACAGTTTGTAAATAAAAGGATTTCGTTCTCGCTATGCTACATTCATTTAGAAAATATACTTGTTTTTAATATATTTTTATTTATATATATAAAAATAATGTTAGATAGTTTAAAATATAGATTAGGGATTATAGCTGCAGTTCCTATACTATAGTTTAAAATAAATAAAACGAAAGAGTTGTGTATTTGTTTGCAATATACGATACCTACTAGCATTATAAAACTAGGTAACGAACCATCTGAAAACAAATTTGAAGTGATATTTGATATTGATATTCTGCAATTGAAAGACTATAGGATCGAAAATTTATAATTCGTTTCATGCATATCTGCATACTATAAAAATATTCTATATCATTAGTTTGGTAAATGTTTAAATATTCTCTAGGCTTCCATGATGAATTACTCTACGTAAAGCCTCACCTGGCCTGTATATTTTAACCTTTGCATTGCAATATCTTTTTCATTATTCTTTCCCCACCTCAAATTGCCGACACTATCAAACCGACTCTTTTTTTAAATTGAACCAATCTACGATGTACGTAATAATATTTCATATTATGCTTATCTGAAGTAAATCATAGTAGAGTGAGAGGTTATATAAAAGTCTTCAACAGAAATTTTATTTCTATCCTATTTCCTAGAAAAATAAAATTCGAATATATGAAATATGTAAAATGAGGAGTCACATCACAATAGATTATGTGATATCGTGTATAGACGTCTATAGTAATATCTTTTTATCAGGATTATGTTAAAAAAAAGTTATTTAGTTGTGACATTACATAGACAAAGAACTTAACGTCCATTTTCTGTAAACGCGTGTAGACGACAACTCAATCATACGAAGTCAGTTCTTTTGTGTGCCCCTCATTTTTCACGCTTTGTTTAGGCACTGTCCGTGTACAAGTGTACAAATACAACATCTAAATGAGACGTTGTACAAGCTGTACAAGCGTCTTCGTTCATGAAGTAATCAAAATTAAGTAATTCCTTATTAGGAATCGTTATAAGTTTTTGTTCCGTTAGAAAATTACAACTTAAATCATGGCAAATAAATAAAATAATATTTCAAATCTGATTTTAAATCGAAGACTTCGAATTCACGTATCATAATCGCAAAAAATGCAGATGAGAATCTCGACAGGCGTTTATTAAAAATGCAGTACTATTATTAGGTTAGGTAATTCAGCTAAAGAATAGGTACTAGGTACACCACCTCTTAAGTTGGACCAATACATACCAAATTATAAACCTTGAAATCCATTCAACCATTTTCTTATGATATAACACATATATAGAGAAATATCAGTTCTAAAAAATGGCTAATTTTTAGGTTTCATTATTATATTATTTCATACGCAATTTATGCAATGAAACCTAAAAAAATAATTAATGTTTGTGAATATATTAATCTTTGTGAAATTAACTTAATATACAGACATATTGACCTTCACGAAATGATTAAAGTATAGATA